CCAACTCAATAGTAATAAATATCTGTCTATTCGTAAGAACAAGGACCATAATTCAAGCACGTAGAAATAAGCGCCTAAACGTAGCAGCGCAAGTAAAATGAAAGAACGCGCATACAAAAAGATGTCCTAATTGTACCTACAAAAGAATGCAATAGCCAACCTACTAAAATCGAAGTAGGACTGGCATCTCAAAGCTCACCTGCACCGTGATCACCCGCGTCTCAGAGCACGAAGGCGAAAATTTCAGCTGAGAATTGCAAAATTTGTCAGAAGTTTCGGAGGGGTAATAAATATTGGTATATCGGAGTTGCGCCGCATTTTCCCATCCACAAAAAAATATATGTATGCCGATTTTTAGAGTCCTGGTTTTAGAAATGACATTTGAGCTAAGCGACCTCTAACTTTGCGTAGTTGCACGATAATGTACGAGAACGAGAGTTATACAATTACAAATTTACCTTCTTCCTACTTGTGAGCTAACAATCACAAATGGTGATCTCTTCAGGTATAACAACATCCCGAGACAAAATTTTACGTTTTTCTTTAATTAATATCTTTAAATAACGAACTAGAACAAAAATTTCAACAAGATTTCAATTCGATATTTTTTACAATAAGTACAATACTACACAGTAGCATTCAACATGATGGGTGTAATGGAAGTATATCCAACAAGCAAAAAGTCATTATATCTTAAGCCCACGTCCGACCTAAGTCATCTAAATATATTTCACTGACATGCTATTTTAAACTCTTCATAAAGCACAAAGCATTTTTTTGGGGGTGGCTAATGAAAATTCATATTCAACAACAGTTATTAAATTGAATTATTTTCTTGGAATATTTGAACGCAAACGCACAAGTAAAACATTGATAAAAAGAAACGAATTTACAAATTAAATTCATTCTATTTTCAGCCAAGGCAAAAGGGGTAAAATTCAGTTCCAATTGGTTAATATTCCACTGAAATGCTGAACATACTGAACCAATTGAAATGGAATTTTAATGATTAGAAATTTCAAATGCCGAAAAATCCATGCCGCCAATACTAGAGTAAAAAACAGAAAATTCAAATTAAATTGCTAATACAGGAAAAGCAAGGAATGAAATACCATGCTGAATTGAATAGACGAAATTGAAAAAAACAAAACAGTCAGAATTGAATGCTGAACTGCTGAATTGAATCTACAAGTGTAAAAAATCAAAGAAATTTGGAATACAGAAAAACAAACCAATTCGTTGGCCAAAATAGGGTAAAGCCAACCATAATCACAGGAGAAAACATTTTATTTTTCAATACAAAAAGTATAATTTAAATCAAAAGGCATCAATACTAAATAATGCTGTCTTTCATTATTATATATATTAAATACCGTATCATCATTTGATCCTAATTGATAGAAGAGAACATGCAGAGCAATAATATTCTAAAGGCAGCAGCAGGTTATACTTTTGAGAGAAAAATTGCACAAAAAAAAAAGTACAGAAGAAGTGAAAATAATGAGATAAAAAACAAGGATGAAAAAGAGCGAGTTATGGGATTACAACCAGAGACGATAGCTGGGGTTCGAATTTGGCGAATATCTCTATGACATTTTGTTTACTACTAGTTTTGGCACTCCCGAAGTATGTGTACCAGGTTAGGCCATGATTTTATTCTGATTTTTCCTATTTTAGTTTTATTACGAGTTCGGGACTGTTTGTGTCAGCCAAGTGAATATACCCCCTGTCCATAGGCTTCAGTCCCTTTATACAACTTGATGTAAAGTAGGCGAACAAAATTAGTTACCTCTATATTGGTACACATACTTCTGGGAGTGCCCTAGTTTCAATTACAATGCTATTAAAAAATAAGTATATGAGTAATACATCTAATTCTATAACAAACTTTATGCGTTTATTGACCACATTTCAAGTAAAATCATTGAAAACCAACAAAAAATGGTCGAAGAAAGTTGAAAACAATCAGATATGGATTGTTTACAAAAACAAACACTGAAGAGTAAGAAAAGCCAAAAACAAAACTTGGTTTTATACACATTGCTTTATTCTGGTTGAGGAAATTAGTAAATAAGAACAATTGCAGATTCATTGACCGTGATGAACTAATATAAATAAGATATGAAACGTGGTTACAATATATTAAACTGACACTTGAGTAATAATTTGATAAACATATATTTGAAAATTCTTTCGTTATAAAAAAGCTTGAGAGTAGGAATTAATAATTGTAAATTTATAATCTGGTAGTTTTTCTATGCAAATTTTTCCGAACAGTTATGCATCATTATAATGACCGATTATTACAAAATTCAATTTCATTTTAGGATCAATACGAATACAGGTAACTAAATCAAGAATTATTTGTTTATTAATTATGCCGTAACATTTTTTTTAATTTCAAAACTCAAATCCCATAGAAATAAAAAAAATTATAGAATTGTTTGCGGAAAAAAAATTTCTTTGGCCGTCTAAAATTTGAGTCTCATTTTTGTAAAGCATCTAACAGAAAAATTCAATTCTAAATGAGCAAATTTGAAAATTGAAATAAAGTTTGTTCTTCACAATCGTGTAGCGTATAACATGTATTAAAAAAAAGTGACAAAAAATTGTGGAAATTTGTTACTTTGAAAAACAAAACAAAATCACCAGCAATGCTCTGTTACAGCTGGACGACCAACATCAAGCAAAGTACAATCTGATTATCAGTCCAACTGGAAATATTAATGATGAGTCAGTTGAATGAACAAGAATGAAATAATATCAAAGATCAAGCCTTACTTGAAAGATGTAATTCATTTCAATTTTCGGACAAAAAAAAACTTTCAGAATTGAGCGATATGAATGAAACTAATAAAGTTGGGCATGCGAAATTTTCAAATAATTGAAAACAAATGTGGAAGCCGACAGGTAAAAGAATATAATTAGCCATGCATTTAACAATGATATGTACATGACTCTGTATATAGCTGAGTATATGAGTATATGAGCATACATGGTCATAGTCAACATCATGAAATATTTCAACATTTAAAGAACATCTCCTTGCTTAAGAAGTAAAAATAGTTATATATGCATTTTAGGCATTATTCATGTTCAGAAAAACGATTGTACATGATCTCTGTTCATAGAGCACCGCTGCAGAGTGTGGCATGCATGATTGCTACACCACCATGAAACAGTGGAACATTTTTTTCTTCCTTCAAGATACTTATTTTTTTCTAGAAAGGTAATACCATTTCAAGAGTAATGTAAACAGATAAGTACTAAGATAATTTATTTCTTCACTTTTATGATATTTTGACATACAGTATTAGTAATGTGGAGTTTTGAATTAAATCAAATATACCCAAAATGGTTGAGGAGAATGAAGAGTAGGTCTCTAATTAATGAGAGTTTGTCTTGACGACAACGTACAAAAAAAATTAATTTGAATCTTTCATTTTCCAAAGTACTCCCACAAACCTCGCTAATGTCCTTGCATATACGCAAATACTTTCAAACGAATACTTTCAATTACGTTATAGTTTGTATAGTTTTGTTACTCTAGGTATAGTATGTCTATCAGGTAATGTTTCTTCAGGTATGGTAGGTTGCTGTGGTCCCGGTGAAGACGCTCTTATGTTATTGGTGGCATCGAAGACCGGTTCATGCGTGCTGACGACTGCTGTAGGGGCTGGTGTGATATTGTAGACTCTTTCTTGATTGGCCAATTGGTGCCCGAACTCCTCCTCCAGTACCTAGATATATTGTGAAAATAACCAGTGATGATCTTATCACGATTTCAATAATTAACTCTGATTATATCATGCTCGCCTCAAAATAAAAAATCATGCCATCAAGAATGATTGTAAAATAAGGAAAAGAATACTTTCAATCAAGAATGGTACTGAAGTAAGGTATAAAAGATTTTTATCTGTCCCTAATACCCGGTAACTCCAACCGATGCAGAAAAGTTTGATATCTGTTACGCAAAAATTCAGAACTTCTGTAACATATTACAATAAAATGCAATTCAACTTACTCACTGGAATTACGCATAATCCCAATTTTAATTTATATATGAGTAAGCACTTGTGACTGAGTCATACTCTATCAAGTACTTTTTTATTCAAATTGTTGAGGAGCCCTTATGATGTGAAACTTCCATTTACAGTAGGATAACAATCAACAAAAAAGGATGCAAATTACCATGCAAATTCATGTCTTGTTTAAAAACAAAATAAATCGACATACAATCATCCAAACTAGTGCATGGAACATACAGTGCAGAAAACTTGGAAGATTAATATTAATATACTGTAAATTATTACAAAAACTCGAAGTGGAAATTTTTTACTTATAACTAACTATTCTTAACGGTAAACTTATTGGATCAATTTATCAGACAATTCAGTACTTCGAACCCAATCAAATCCTGTCCAATTAAATATCTTTGAGTGAGTTTCCTTTGTTTCCGAGTAAGATGTAAACTTACTTTAAACAAATATCGATATAGAAAAACAATCTCATATTATAACAATATAAAATGAGAAATGTCTTACGGTCTTTCCATTATTATTGCAAGCAAATCTAATGCAAAACAGCCACGAAATTGATGACCATCTGCATAGTTAAACAAGCATGATTCACATAAAAAACATTTTTCGAGAGTCTTACATAGTTGAAAATGGAGAAAAATATTTTTTTAATTGCCAGTTAGAACATACTTTATTATCCTGATAAAAAAGGAAAAAAGTGTTAATATCGCAAATTAACTTGGTTACAAAATTTTTTTTTTTTATATTTTGTGAAATCTGTATGATAAAAATTGCATTACATGCAAAAACAAGTCCGAGCATGCTGGGTGAATGTAACAAAATAAATCAGGCAGTCAAACAGAAATAACTCAATACCATTTGAGCCGATGGTGTGATTTTTCTTTCCTTGGGATCACATGCTAAATTAATAGAATATTTTTTGATAGAAATAGTGTATAACAAAAAAGATACATTGATCATCGCAATGGCACATGATCAAAACTTAAAATTCACGAAAAGTTAAATTAATTATGTAGATTCTGTGAAATTGAATAAAAATCAAATAATATAATAAGGAGCCTCTTTCCTTTAAAAATAATGTGAATATGGCAAGTCTTTACATTTACAGATCATTCCGAGCTGAAAATCTCAAATAATCTTTTTTAAAGTGGAATTATGTTACAATGGCAAATTACTAAGTTGAATTTATGAATGAATTTATTGAAAAGCAACATTTCTGTTTTGCTATTTATTTTGAATTATCAAATAAGATTTTAATCATGATAAAACAGAATTTTTTTATACTGCTATCCTTATTTAAAACAAATATAAGCGGCATAACAGTGAATTGCCAGATTTTTATAGCAGCTTGGATTAAGCATTGTTCATTCATTCTTAGCAAATTTATTTAAAAAAAATATCGCTTAGAATAAAATCATGAAAAATTAAAATATTTCTATCATATGAAGAATTATTTGAAAATAAAAAAACTACTGATATCATGCTATGATTATATGGTGCGGACCTGATTATTCTCTCCTGTAGTTGAAGACGTTGTGCTGTGGGAAGAAGCCTCTGAAGGAGAACGACTGTGACCTTTGCCCTTTGTCGGAGACAGTAGCTTCAATGACGACCCGCTACTAGATCGTGTGGGTGACGTTGGTTCCGGAGACAGAGTATTTGCGGATACGTTAGCGGGACTATCTTCTTTTGCACTACTGATAGAAATGACGTCGTCATTTGAAATATTTGACCCAGATCTTTGACTATCTAAACTTGTCGCATCGGCGTCTGTGGTAGACGAAGAAGAAGATACGATCGCACGGCGTCGAGTTGTACTCGTGCGTTTTTTAATAGAGGGGGAATCAGCCCCAGGAGCAGGTGGAACGACTCCCTCTTCCTTTTCTATTTTCTGATATCTCCATGCTTTCCTGTGTCGGTTTTCTTCCTCAATTTTTTGGCCTTCCGTCTCCAACTGGCTCTCCAGATGCTTTTGTTTCAGAAAACATTTTTGTTTTAATTTTTTGAAGCGGGTCACATTTTTTTAGAATGATCAATTTAACTTTATATTATTCAAATTATGTATTATGAACATAATATAGTAGTACTGATGTTATGGGCTGTCTTAATTTTTTATAACTTTCAGCATATATAAGATAGCAGTTATTCCTATCAGTATAAATCTATACGGTGACCCCAATAAACGGAACCCAGTCTATTTGAAATATATTGGATGGGTTCCGTTTTTTTTGGGGGTCACCCTGAATCTACTTTACCAAATTATACACTGTAATATATATTGTAGTTTCTAGTATCAAAAAGTTAGCAACTACAATGCACAAATATTCTGTCTACATTAGTATTTTCAGCAAACTAACATTGATAAAAATTCAAATAAGAATGAGTTTGTTTCAACAACCGTTTACTTTTTTGATAATATTTCAACGACTTTTTAAAAATTCACAACTTTTTGAATATCTAATTATAACACATATGAATAGAGAAGTAGACAGACTTATTAGTATGCTTGTTTACTATAATTTTAATTTAGATAATTAAAAAAAAAAAAAAAGTTTATTCATAACGAAACTACCAATAAACTTCAGGACAATGTGAAAAAAAAATCACACAATTTAACTTTCAGGAAGAAGAGAAATGCAGGGGTAAACATGACATTTCTAAAATTATGAAAGAGGCGTGCCTTGTGATTTGAGATGTTGCTTTGGACCCACTGGAGATAGATTTTGTTTACAACCAGCATTGGATGGCTAAAGTCATTTAAACGCAAAGACTAACTGATTTCTCTCAATGGAAGAAAAACAACGGAACAAACATCATCATTATTAAAAATACAGTTATTTTTACATAAAATTTATTGCTTGTCAGTAAGATGCAAATTTTTGAAATCGTGGCGGGGTTCACTTGAGCAAAATAGATGCTGCCAAGTTTTTACGCAGTGATATTTCTCACATACAAAATTACGATTGAGCAATACTTCAATACCAAATATAAAATGAACAAAAAAAATTTACTAAAAATATTTTTGTGCGAAATACAGGAGACCCAATAAGATTCTCGAGCGACCCAGTTTTGCGTCATGACCCATATGTTGAAAAACACTGAACTAGAAGACCAAACATTCCTTTAACTATATATGATAAATGGTTAATGTGTCATCAGCTGAAAATATTTTTAAATATTTTGAGATAGATGTTATTATTCTTGAAGCATTAATTACGCTAGATAGAGAAAATAAGAAAAGAAAGTTATGTTATACAAATGCTACTGTATTATATAGTCACATACGACACCTTTTCACAAACACCATACAATACAACAAAATAAAATTCACAATCCACCACGAGTATCACTTTTATACGAAAACACACACAAGTAATTTCATCACAATTACCTATGGCCATATGTGAACACTAGATAAAGCATCGAAATCTTATAAAATGATCATCACGTCATATTGATACAAAATTGCAATGATTAAAAAGATCATCCTTTTTGCAGACCGATTCTAAACGCTCACATTTGGCCATATTTAACTTAATGATAAAACTTACGAATCTAACATAACAAACCTTCTTTCGTGGCCGAAGTTGATCTTTCCATGTTTGGAGTTCCATGGAGAAATTTCCGTCGAGTGCTTTCAATTTTTCTGATTCATGCTCAACAAGAAGTTTACGTTTTTCATTCTGCAGACTGCGTAATTCTGTTGTGTTATTATCGCACTGAGCTTCCAATTCTTTCAACTGTTGTTCTTGCTTGAGTGCCATTTTCAATTTCTCTTGTTTTTGACGTTTGGTCTCGTTTACAGAGAACTGACAAAATTGAGAAAAAAATATTAATAATCCACAAATTGAGAGAAAATTACGCTTTTTGATAAAACAGTGTGACAAGATAATAAATTAACAGAATTAAAAATAACTGTTCAGCAGAAATAGTATAAGGTCGTATGTGTCTACTTTAGGAAGAGCATAGGGTACCAATTACTTATTTATGTCATTTCAAACAATGAAGAAGATATTTAATTCCTTCATTTCTGAAAGCAATTTTTTGTGAAAATCAACTTCTCCATTCAATTTTTAAAATGCTTAAATTCAATTCGAAATTATTTTAATTTTCCCCAGTCCGTTGACCCCACAAAAATTTTATAAATTAATTCGAGTGTATGCCTGCCTAGTGGCGACGACATCAGTTACCAGGTGAAACTGAAAAATACTCTTTGAAGGTTCAAATATACAAAAAGCTTCAAATTCAAATTAGTATCGAAATTGTAAGGTAATACACAGTTACCAAAATGATACGTTGTAATATTGAAATTTGTAATGAAGAGTTTTAATCATGAAGTTTTGAAGGATTATTTAAAAGACTAAAAGAGATAAGAATGCAGCGAATTAGTAGAGGATAGTCGTCCAAATAACGAATGAAATAGTATTAGCATTAGTTTGTTCAAAATCAGATAGGTGAAAATATAGATGTAGAATGTTAGATCATTTTAAAATAGGTAATGCCAGTATGCCAAAGCGGTTAAAAGGTTCCTCCGCCATCAAGTCCACGCATCTGAAACAAATAACCGGCTAACTGATCCAATACCCGACCGACATAGACTAGCGACTCGACATTCGCCATAGGATTAAGCCGCTTCTTCAAATTAATATATTTTGCTTTTTAAGGGATTAAAATTTACAATAATAAAATTTAACTTTTTGTTACAAAAATTTGCTCAGAAATAAAGAAGACACGTCTCTGAGATTGTCACAAAAATGACAACAATTATTGGAATCATATAAAATTATGGCAGAATGTTAAGTTTCAGTGAATGTCAATTTATGTGAGACTTAGAGTAGTTCGAATATCTTTAGTATACAGACAATTGCTATATCGTAAAAATTGTATTAAAATTTTTACACAATTTCTGACAGAATTTCATGTAGATTCTGTTCACCATTAAATGATACCTCAGTGAAATTTTTACATCATTTCTGACAGAATTTCATGTAGATTCTGTTCACCATTATATGATACCTCAGTGAAATTTTTACACAATTTCTGACAGAATTTCATGTAAATTCTGTTCACCAATATATAATACCTCTGTGTTAAACTAATATAACATTGAATCAAAATATGTGATATACACGTACCCCACGTATGACCTGAATAAAAAGGATGACTTGATAAAAAGAAATCGACACTTTGATAACTTAGAATGAGTTACAGAAAAATGGAATGTTTTATATTCTTCAATATTATTCGATGTTAGAGACAAATTCTACATTTTGTTTGGAAATCAAATAGCCAGTCCATTCAAGTCTATGAATATTTAGAATACTTTAAATAGAAGTGTGACAAGCGTACCAGAATAAATCATTCCCATGTTTCATAAAAGGTGTTCCCATAGATAAAAATATACACCAAAACTTTGGGTCAGATATCGAGATTCACGGAACTCTGAGACAATTTGGAATGAAAAAAAAAGTAAAAGTCTATTTGTGGCTTTAAATACGAAATATTTAAACCCATTTACAACATTAATTGCACTGAAAAGAATTTTTTTTATAAAAACAACAGCAGTCAAGAAATTAGAATTATGAATCATAGGTGTTTAAAAATTTTAACGAAACAAAAACAACAACATATACATTTACATTCGAAAAATCCTCGGCTGACCCAATAACATCAAAACCTAGGAATTAATTAATATTCTGTGAAAAAGTCATCAACCAAATAATATTGCTTACATTTCTAATCTTCTCTTTTTCATTCTCGACAGCTTGTGTACTTAATCGTAAGCTTTTCTTGAACATATTCATTCGAGTTTTTCCTTCACTTCTCTGTATTTTAGGAAGTCTCAGTTTCTCTTGTCTATGTTTCGTTACGAGTTCTTCCTCGAGTCGTTTATTGTAACGAAGCATTTGATCTTGTTCCTGAAATGAAGTGTTAAATGATTACTGAACATAGACAATAAAACCACCACTTCACCCAGGGTGTAAAATTTGGTAGGCAGTGCTGAATCGGAACAATTTCTGTCCTCGAAAAAATTGTAACTATCATATATCCTCGAATATAAACCGGCATGAATTTATAAAGAGTGTGACCAGAGTTGTGCCTATTGCCGACCCATTAATTTGGCAACTTCTTTTTCGAGTTTTTAACTTGGCTTATATGCAAGGATATATGGTACTCATGTATCAGTAGCTGATACGAGGCCTTGTTCTGAGTAAGAATGATACATAAAATATCGTTGAATCATAGCTGTCATGAAAATTCAAATACAACAAGACAATCATCTACTGTATGATAAAATATTTTTATTGATAAGTTTAAAACACATAAAAAAGGGGTGTCAGCTCATACACGCACAACTCTGATTGACTAAAAATTCGACTTATATTTGCATAACTCTGATCGTACTAGTTTTCTTCTGCAACCATTTGTTGTGATAGGTGCGTACGGCATGTTACGATTTTCAGGGTCGGCTTATATGCAACTTTTTATTAATTCCCGTTTCGGGGCTGTTTTTATGGGGTCGGCCTATATGTGAGGATATATGTATTAGTTAGTTTTTCAAGATTTTCTTAGAGAGCTTCCGAAATTTGCTTATATAATGTACAAATTATGCAAAATTAAATTCCAGTTGGAATAAAAGTCAGAATTTCTTATAAATATATTTCGCAATGCAACCACATATTACCTTGTCGTGTCTCTGAACAAGTTGATGTCTCTGTAAATGATAAAGATCTTTCAATTGCTGTTTTGTTGTTTGATGACGTTCATGCAGATGACGCTCTTCTAATTCCCATATTGCCGCCTCTCGCGCTTTTCACAAAAAAAGAAATTTGAATATCCGAACAATACTAATAAAGATGAGATAGAATTATTTATATTTTTACAAATTAGTGGTGCAGAAATAAGTATTAAAAGGAGTGTTATTGGATATTTATTGGAAAATACCAAACCAATCCTCTTTTATCAAAATAACGACTATTTTCACAAAAAAAAAACTCATTAACAATTATCAAATTATAACCTACTTCTTAGTAAATCCTGTTTGCTGAGTAAAAATGCTTTTTCTGTCGCAGCAACATCACGTTTATGTTTTTCATGCAGACTTCGCATCGTCATATGCATTGTTTCAGCTTGTTGAGCGAGGAACGATTTCTCCTATAAAGAAAAAGTTATGCACATCAAAGAAATGAGATTTTCTCATTTTATTCTGGAGAAAAGGAAAATCGACATGACACTTCATCCTAAGTCAATCCACACGGCTCCTAGGCTAGTTACCAGTCCAGGTCAGAAATGAAAATAATTAGCTTCAAAATTATTTTTAGATACAAAAATTGGTGATGCAGAAGACTTGACACAGGACCCTTGGAAACATAGCATTTATGTTAATTGAATACATACAAATGTATAGTCACCAAAACTAAAGCCATTTAAAAAGAATTCCCAACTCTTTTGTTGATAAATTTTTTACACTGGTCTCCAGGAAATTTTATCTCCGACTTCAGTTCTAACACCATATAAAACGATTTTTTACCATAGAAAATTTACACACCCAAGCCTTTTATAATGGTCTACTGGAAATGTTTAGTTAATCCAATATCAATGAAACTGAGATTCTTGACTCATTCCACCACATATAATACCAACCCACCCGCACAGTATATTACTATGCATTTCTGACACATAATACAGTAGGAAATGTCATATTAATTATAACGATCAGATGCAAAGTAAGAAACAGATCATCATACAATTGAAATTCAGAAATAATACAAAACTTTAATCTTATAAACCGACCTTATATCTTTGATGAGCGTCGAGTTCTTCTTTTCTCTGTTTAGATAATTCTTTACGTTGTTGTTTAGGTAAACTATCAAGCTCTATTTTCAGTTGTTTTTGTTCTTGTCGGAGGTTTTCCATGTATCGTTTCCTATATGGAATACATTACATTAATAATAATGAAAATAATAAATTGTCCAATAATACAATAAATTCATTCTTAGCATCGTACAACAATGCACCAAGGAAAACAACCAAGCGGTAGCTGTTCGATTTCATCCATAATACTAAACCCATATCGTGATCAGGGGCAAACCTAAGGGGTAGGTTGGGGTTAAGGGTCGGAACCCCCTTTTCAAATGTAAAAAATGTATTTTACTGTATCATACATAGCCATTTTTCGTAGCTTGAACGAGTTTTTAGACCCATTAGCTGGCAATTCGAAGTTACAGATCCCCCTCCTTATCCTAAGTTTGGAAATAAGTTCAATATTTGCCTTAGTTTATATTAATAATTTCTATCCTGGCAACGTTCAAATTCATGTAATATTCATATATCACAATTGTAATATGAAATTGACAGAGATAAGACAATGCTTGGTTTTCGTTTCAACTATAATCAGCTAATAAATCAAATTCAAATTAATACCAAATATGTATTGTTGAAGAGAGGGCGTATGAATAAGATGACATAATTCACCAACATATAAATAAAACCGTTTCATAAGCTTTTTAATTGGAACATGCTATTATTGTCATAATTTATTGCTACGCAAAAGCACATGAAAGCTCTTACATGATAATTATTAGAATCTGAATGTGTTTCAAAAAATGTACTTATTGTTTTTCTCCGCAACTAATGGGCCAATCAATTTCAAATTTTCAATACTTTCGAAGATGGCTAAAGTCGCTTCAATGTTATTACTTTTATTTCTTTTTCAAGAAAATTTTCGATGGGGGACCCAATATTCCACTCACAATTTCATTCAAATACACATGAATACTTTTATATGACAAATGGGAACATTTTAATATCGATTTGGGTTCATCTTTGTGCTCATATATTTAAGCATTGCTTTCTAGTTTATATCATAGTTTCACTACTAAATAATACTCGTTGATATAGTTATTAAAGTATAAATTACTGACAATACTAAATTTCAGAATACCAAACAATTCATATCCCTAATACATGTTATAGTAATTGTAAAGACCTATTGACTTTAGTTACATACCAATGTCTAGTTTTGGCGTTTTCAAAAGTAAAAGTCTTTTTTTATTGTCTATTCAGAAACACTGAGAGACCTGTTTTTGCGATTATTATCGATGTCCCGAGCATGGCCATAGAAAAGATTCAGGTAATATTTACGCATAAGGAGTGGTTTGACTTCATAAAAAACAACATAAACTATCTCACCGGTTACTGAATACATAAGTGATTATTTGCAAAAGTGGAGTGTGGAAATTTTATGAGCTAGAGTAAGAATTTAAATATAATATGTGCGTAATTTGTTTACTGCGGCAATAGGATATTTTGCCAATATTTTACAGGTTTTGCTTAATACCTTCGATTGGTTATATCAAAATTTCAATCACTTTAATTTTCTTTGCATTATTTATAATTTTTTTCATTAATACTTGAATAAAACTTGGGAATCATTTTCTACATTAAAGGTATCAAACAGTACAAAAGCCCTTTGAAAGGGATTCATAATTAGTCCCACGGATCAAATCTATTTATCTTACCTTTCTTTGTCTTGATCTTTTCTCAAATCTGTTATAGTTTGTTTTCTTTCATTATCTTGATATTGTTCTAATCTATCGATTTGTTGTTTTTGAGATTTTTCCAACGTATCAACTTCTGATGAATACTTTCTCTTCAACATCTAGAAAACAAAAAGGTCATTTTTGTAAAACAAGTATATTGGATGTCCAGATTCTATAACATGTATACTTTCATTAAAATTCATTTTAGATAATTTCAATAATTGTAATTTATTAATACAGAAACAGAATTGGGGCTAAAGATAGTTAGATAAACGATAGATTTCATATAATCAAGGCATTACAAGCAACAGAAATGCATGCAAATTCGGTTTTTGGGTTAGTACCGCAGATGCGCAAATGAATATTCTCTTCAACACAAAACTACGGACAATTGGTTTTTCTGAGGAGTTTTGACAAATTTACTGTGAAGTAGCTAGGAACAAGCAGTCACTAATGCATAGTGAGATAACTTATTATTTCAGAGCAAATCTTACTGATTCAGAAATGAAAATGGGGCATTTGTACTTGGAAAATTTCAGACCTATTTGTGAAAAAAATTCAAAACATCTCAGAAAACCTTATTCTGGATTAAAATGATGGTTACTGACAGGATGCTGATATCAGTCAGTGCATCTTTCTATATTAGTAACATATAAAAAATCTTGAAAAATGGAAGATACATACAGCCATGTCTTGTTCAAATCTAGTGACCATTTGTTCAAGTTGAGCTGCAAGTTTTTGATTCAATTGAGCAAGTTGTCTTTGTTCATCATGTTGTAGTTTACGAAGCTCTTGTAACTCCTGCCGCCTGGATTAATAAACATTGAAATCGTAAGATAAAAAGAAATAATTAATAAGCTTTATCGAAAATTTCAGTACAATTCAAATTACTACATAAAGAAGTTGAATTTAACATTTTTTCTCATTAAACTGAGGAAGATTTCTTATCGCAGACCAGAAATAGAAGCATCGCAACGTCAAATACATCACCAAAACAAATCGCAAAATTATGCCTGGAGGCTTATCATTAACATTGCAGGAATATTCCTAGAAGTATTGAAGGAATCGTTGATGTGATGAAAGACAGCAACAGATAAAGCTAATAATTTATTATTAAAACTTACAAGTATATTCTCAAATCATATTTCTGAATATGGATATTATTGAATATATTTAAAACTAGATCATGTTCAACATGAAAATTCAGAAATCAGTGAAATTCATACAAATTGAAATTAGTAATGGGAAATAATAGTCTTTTGCCTTTTTTATTTTTTGAAGTCGGAAATTAATTGAAGTCTATATATTTTACATCAGATGTTACCTGCTTGAAATGACAAACTTTTATAAGGGATACAACATTGTTTGATTAGTTTTGAACAACCATACAAAGGTATAATGATAGATAAATTCATATCATTGATCAGAAAATTTATCCCGCTGCACAAATTTCTGATGTCTAAATTTAATCCAATGATTTTATTCCTATGTTTTCACAGGGCCCTGCAAGATTTAAACCTGAATTCGTTGTGAATTCATGCCATTAGATATCAATTTCTCAGTATCCAAAACGACCCCAATAATTACCGTAAATATCGTCTTTCTTGTTGATTCTCTAAATCAGCGGCGGTCGTTTCCTTCGTAGTTGTAACTTGCATTTGAACTCCATCGACCATAAATCTCCGAGTTTTGCGAAGCGTTTTACGTTGACGTTTTGCCCGCTGATAGAAAAAGCAAAAGCTACATTTCCAATAATGATATTGCATAAGAAAACTCAAGGATGAAGCATAATTATTCTAAAACTTATTATGTCGCAGAGGTTTATTAAATTAAAAAGCACCTTGCTTGTCAAATCATATTTGTTTTTTATTTGTTTTTCTCAAGTTCAGAGCTTTCCCATAGACTCCAGCATTTTCTTAACATTGAATTATCCATGTTCGTGTCAAAAAAGGTTTTTAAATAACGAACAATTTAATGAGGATATTAGGGAGAACAAGGATGTATTAATTTTAATATTTTGACAATATGATAAATAACTTCTTGTTGATTTTAAGTTGTGCCGGCAAGGCACTGATTAGCAATAATTTATAATAGGCCTATATCTCAAAATTGTAATACAAATTCAAAAAGTTTGGATAACTCACCCCATTATCCAAAGTAAATAACAATCAATTAAACATACGAAGCAAAATGCAAACAAACGGGCTGCGACATACAAAATTGCAGCAATAACCGATGCACAAATCATGCAACATGAACAGAAAAAAAGACAACATAACAAACAAAAAAATTGGGGAAAATGAAGCGATTGAAACTTTCATGAACTATTCTTTTCTTTTCATCTATTCTACCACTACTACATCTGCACAACTTTTCAACGAAAATTTTGGACATTATGATTAGCTGACAAAAAATGTCATCAGAATGAAAATGAAAACATGCAAGCTGATAGCCAAAATGAAATATTTTAATATTTTACAAATCTGAGCATAATATACTGGAACAATATTTTTGAATTTGGACTCTCGAATATATTTCAAATTCATTTTACTTATGTTTATGTTTACTTATCTTTAATAAAAAAAATTCAATATATTGTGAATTCTTAGAAATTGAAGTGAGGTTAACATTGTTGTGATCCATTTCCTATTTTTTCCACAGTGCTAGAATTTAAATGAAGTCTATTTTATGCCTAAGCAAATCATCGAGATTCAAATGCTTATATTAAGAAATTTTCAAATTCCTAAAAGCATATTATTTACTATACAGAATATCACCAATTTCAAATCCAACAAATATTCTATACGTTTTGGACTAACTTAATGCAACATCGCATATGATTTTAAATTCAAAAACTATGATCAGAGCAAAATTTTGTCCCCTAACATTTGTCCCCTTTTCCATGATTGTTTCTAAATCGAGTTCTACCATCTGAGAGCTTTTCATCGCAAAAAATGACTGATTTTCATTATAATTTCATGCCAAATTTAGAAAATAAAAAAAATGACGAATCAGAGTAATAAACATAAAAATTTGCCTTTCATTTAAAACTTAGCGTACTTATTAGCTTAAATAACAAAGCTTCAAAAAATATGTTTCTTCTAAAACCTGAACCTGTTGCTTTGTATTTTACTTTGTAAATCTGGGTAATGATCCTCATGGTTTGCTCTAACAATCTATATCTTATTATAGAATCTGTTTTACTATGATGTATTGATGACCAGAGAAGTGAAGTTTCAAAGCAGAAGGAGATCTTTCGTAGTTGAAGATTTCTAGACAGTTGAGATGTGCGAGTTTCCAGTAAGTTTATCAGTGACATGCCATCACATGAGACCACAAAACAGAACACATATACACCATTCAGAGACGAGCACATTCACACAATTTACACACACTTTACTTCACACAGTGAGTAATATTTTTCAATTAATGATTCTACCTGTTATGCAAAACTAGATATATTCAATACTTGTGAGCTTACAATTCAAAGAATATCGATAATTTGGAAAATAGATGAACTTTATATCGATAATATTATAGGAAGTCAACAAATTTTCGTGATGGTGCGGTTGTTGCCAAAAATATGTATATTGGATTTTTTATAAAATCCATCATTGGCTTTTAGTTAGCATAAAATACAACTCATTTTTGTTGAAATTTGCGTAGTTTTCGTGAAAGAGGAAATAGCTGTCTGTGGTAAATGTTAATATGATTTATACTATGTATTGGCTTGTTTATATAAATCAGTTTGGTCTGATTAGAATTTCAGGTTGGTTGATAAGACGTAGAACCATAGCAAAATAACGAAATTGAATACTATTCACATTTAATGAAATGGCGACAATCACAAGACGTTAAATTTGAATGACATCACAATTTGTTCGAGAAAACGTAATATGATTCAACTCATGCGATTCAGACAATACGACACATTTTAGTTTTGAAAATTACCCTCGGAATATAATTTAGGGCTTCTTCGAATACGATTTTGAGTGTGTTGGTTAAACTCCGACGAGAAGGGGTACGATAAAGCGCAAATCCCGCATCATAAACCTGCATAAGTAGTTTTTTAATATAGTTTGCCTATTTCAAATATCACACAATATCAAACAAACAAGTTTTGAAGTAGGACGCCAGAAAGAGAATATGTCATGCAGAAATTTTAAGCTGTGCCTGTGATAGGGATGCCCAAAGGATTGAATTGTAACAAAATTTGATGATTATAAAGATTTCCTTTATAGTTTATGGAGAAGAATTAGTGCTTTTCTCATAAAACATCCATTTTCAAAGTAAATTTAAGCTTATGTCCAATTTTACCTCAGTATATTTTTATTTAGATATTACCAAATAAAATTTCTGAAATGTCAATTTAGACACAGGCATCCCATCACAAGACAAATGCTACTTTAGTGCAAGTCTGTGACTAAAGCAATAAAATATACTAAGAAGTACCCATATTCAAGTTTCAAAATAGCTGTAATATAGGCAGAAAAGGCATACATTGAAATTTTGTTTAGGCAAATATAGAACTATGTATATCTTGCCATGGTACCAATGTAGGCTATAGTTTAAAGTACAGATCCACCATAAGCACCAAATATACAAATATTTGATGGGAAAGATCAGGGATAAAAGCTCATGCAAACTTGCATCTCACTCACTCCCAGTTCTTATACCACAAACTGAATAAATTTAACTGAGATTGGACGTAGCAATGAAGAAAAATGTGGATAAAATTTTGAAGATTATTATAATTTTGAAAATTCATAATATTTGAAATTAACGTACTCTACAATCAAATTTTTACTTATCTTGCTTAAATAGTTTGGTTATTTTTTTTTCAAATAATCCTTTTTTTCACTCAATTTGTGCATAGTTTATAAATTACCAAGAAATTGAAATTCAATTTGAAGTGAATCTATCAACTTTCAAATCTCAGCTAAACCTATTTAGTATATCATTTCCACCCATAAGTAGTTATTTTCGAATTACTGTCACACCGTGATCTACAATCTACCACTACCATTCATGCTTTCAATACCAACCTCTACTTCATCTGAAGTTCGTCTGTCAGTGCTCGCCGCACTTGATCTTGAAGGTTTTTCCATTGACGTGGCGCTACTGGAGAGCAGTGAAGGTTCGCTGTCTAGTGTCAGCACACTGCCACTATCGGACGAGTGCACAGACTGGTTGTCCAGTCTTTCGCTAGTTGTGCTGCTGTGTGCCAGAACAGACAAATGTGCTTTGTTATTATTATTCGAAAGAGAGGATTTCTCTACTAGCATTGGAGATGGTGGAAAAGGTGCAATAGGTGTGCTGGGTCCCTGAGTTAAAGTAGGACTAGTGAGAGTATCGTCAGTAGGAGTATCAGCAGTTGTGTCTTCTTTAGAAACCACTGACTGGTCTTTGTCGTTTACGTTGGCAGAAGACGAATTGAGAACTAAATCCAGCATACCGACTGCTAAATCTTCATCAGTACCGTTCGGCTTTGTGTCTTTATTCGAATTAGCGACTTTAGCTGCGTTTTCTAATATCTTATTTCTCATAAGGAATGACGTACCTCTTTTGGGGCTAACTGGGGGCGGGGTTTTCTTTCCTTGCTGATTGGTCGTTACACTATCTTGCTCTACTACATTATTAGAATCTGATCTAAACGGTATTGATTTTGTCGCTTCAAACTCTTTTATCTGTTGCTTTACTGATGTGCTGCTATCTTCAAGCTCAACAGCGGAATTAAAGGTTGTAATGGTAAAATTTGATTTTGAAACTGAGGTCGAAGCATTGCCATTAACCAAAGATGTTGCGTTTGTCGTCGACATGCTCGTACTAACTTCAGCTCGGTCATTTTCTTTAAGATCAGTGATACGGTCTTCCGCTTCGGCTGCTAAACCTTTTGATACAGTATGAACGGGTGATGGTCCGTCGGATAAATGGTCGCCGTCTTCTGATTCAACTTTTACTACAATACCGGATGACGCGACAGATTCAACATCGTTTTTATCTGACGAGTCGCTGCTGCTTTTGTCTTCAACGTTCGATCCGAGACCTTCGTCAGATGATTCGGATGCGCGAGAGTCATGTTTTGATAACGACAAGACAGCTGTTTCAATCTTATTATTTTTGTTTTCTTTGTTTACTAGATCTGATGCAGGTTGTGTGTCTTTATTGGTAACATCTTTTGTGGTTTCAATCGTAGATTGAACAGGAGCAGGACCAAGTATTTTTTCTTCAATAACTTTGGACCTGAAGAAACAAAGATCTCCATTTTATTCGAAATGAAATACACAATATTTAAATAATATTATCGGGTAAATATTAAGTTATATTAATAGCAATTATAATACAGTATTGGACATGAAAAGCTAAACAGATATTTAATTGGAGAAAAAATGTAAACAACAAATGGGAGTATACGATTTCCTCTTCAATGCAATTCTTCACAATACCACATTATGATCCATACAGTTATTCTACCTTTCATCAGCTTTTTCAGAAATAGTTGAATCAGGTGATGTAAGAGTGGGAGTGCTCGGAGATTCTTCAGAAGATGCTGGATCCAAACTATAAGTTGAAAATCTGCTTGATATATTTGACGGACTGTCTCTTCCATTCTGCAAAGAAGAATTGTGTTGGAAATGTTGAATCAAATTGGTTGGGATAAATAGTATATTCCTAACCAGAGAGACCTTTTCCTTCCCCGAAATGAATTTTAGTATTCTTGCGGGGGGAATATAGAAACATTACTTTATATTAAATGTAGTTTTACTAATATTGTTTAGTTATTTAGTTTTATTGTAATGTATATTCATACACACATTACCCATATACGCTATTCAAACTGTGTACAAACGTCTTGGTGCGAGTACGCATATCGCCGTTAAAAATTCGAACAAATAACAGAAAGAAATTTTTGCAAATTCTTCAAATGCAGGAATATACTGCAAATCACTACAGAACTCAAAACCCGAAAAATATAAAAAAAATAATTATGGTCTTCAGTCCAACAATTCAGTATTTTGATTAAAATTAATACTATGGAAATTATTTTTTTCTCATTTAGGATAGCACCATGTCCATATCATGGTTTTTTGTTCAAAACGAATTATATATTTAAATACAATCAAACTTGATTACATAGGATATTGTGAAAATTCGATTTTAAAGATATCCATACTCTGACGAATCAAGTTTGGGTTAAATTAACCTACCATCATGAATCATATTGACATGATATGTCTTACACTCTTATTAAACTTAAAAGCAACTTTGTTTTGATAAAATTTCTGTACTTGGATATGATCAAAAGAAAACAAACAATATGTCACAATAACGAACATCTACTACGTATAACGGTACTGTGGTTTATTAAAATGACATTTAAACATGACCAAAGATTGAATCTGGGCTTTTAAACATGCAACGACGACTGTCATTATAGGTTTATTGAATACTGCAATAGTTGGTGGAACCTCCCTTATACAAGTGCCGACAAAGCCTTTTTAAGTCAGTAAGCAATAAAACTTTTATATCGATAATAAAATCAGCAAATTTTATAGAATTAGTATACTGAACTGTTTGGTAATGCACAGAGTTATGTGTATGTATTGGAATTTTTCATATTGATTTTTTGAATAATTTTGGCATTGTACGCTTCATTTGGATGATGAATTTCTAAACTTCCAAACACGCATTGTCATAAATTAGGCAGGCCTCACCTAACTTTAAAAATAACTGCAGTAACCGACTGCTCAGTTAACTCACTCACCTTATGCATCTGATATTTTACAAGAAGTGAATAAAAAGCTCAATAGCATAATTTTATAAAAGATTTCTTACGCTGGATATTTCTTCTTCAGTTTCTACGACTTCAGCTTTTGCTTCCGCAACTAGTTTTATTATAATACGTTCAGGTGTATCCTTCAATGTAGACATATCTATGAAAGGATGAGCCAGAACTTCACGCATCGTCGCACGTTTGTCAGGCTCTTTTACGAGACATCGCTCAAGGAAGTTGTGAAAGTCTTTAGACCTGAATAAAAAAGATTAGCAGTAGCTTAATATATCCGCTGTATTGCATGAGGTCTTACTGGAAATTGGAATACTGCAAAGAGCAGTGAAAAGCTGAGGTTTGGAAGCCTGTGCTAAAGTTAAGCTCAGTGAGTAGACAGATAAGAAAAAGGGAGGAAGGAGTTTTATGATTAGGGTAAAGGGTGAGGCGAGACAGAAAATTCATATTGTTATCCCAAGTTGTTGTTGCCAACTGACGAGCATTATCGTTTTTGCAATTTTCAGTAATTACCCCAAGAGTTGAAGTTTAGCTTATTTTTATCGATATTGGAGTAAGAACTGGAATAATAATTTTTAATCTCCCTTGAGTCTGGAGCAGAAATAGAAAATTTTCAACAGATACTCAATAGGCATTGCTACCGGTAAGTATTCTCAGTAGACAATTTAAGAAGTCTTGTATACGTCTAAAAAGTCTTTGTTCCTGTAGGAGTTCAGAGACGAAATCAGAATCAAAATTGTCTTCAAAATGGAGTCAGAAGTGAAAGTTATTTTTAAATGCCTCAGAAATTGGATTTGAAATTCCTTGTAAATTTTTCTTGACTCGATGGCTGTGTTTTCCCTTCTCCCATGAGCATAAGTATTTAAAACAGTATAAAATGCCATATATACAACATTTACAAAAAAAAGTTGAAAGTTGCTCAAAATAGCCCACATGTGTACATATTTTCATCAAAAATTACCAGTCTATACACTGTGCACTTACCATCTGGAAGTTGCCATCAATGTAGGAGGTCCAGATTTAGCGATACGAAGAAGTACTCGAACAGGATTGAGTTCGTGATGAGGAGGTTCCATCTCAGCAAGCTCAATAAGAGTGATACCGAGAGACCAAACATCACACAGATATGAATAAGGGTTATCCTGAAATAGAAGTTAGCAAAAATAATCAATAAGACACAGTAAAAAGAGAAATCACTTCTTAATTTGGCATTAGTTGGCCATTAGAAAGTGGATGCTATCAATATAGCAGAAGTGTTGAATGTACTTACTACTCAGGATGTTCATAACCAAAGGGTATGTATAGGTATAGTAAAATAATGGACAGGGATAGCAAAATCCAATAAATTACTATTCCAAATATATTGTGATTTAATACATTCTAATATTCCCTGTTTTTTTCATTGTCAAAATTCATTATAACCATGAGAAGTGCCTAATTTAATCATGTATATGTAATTTGTAATGTATATTTATTTTTTCTTAGCTTATTCGGAATTCAAAACATCCTGGATATCAATTATTTTAACCAAAAATGTAATTGGCATATGAATAATTTTGATTTACTTTTATCTGGACAAAAATAATAAATTCCATATTGGCACTGAAATTCTAATTGGCAGAAAAAAAGAGAAGTGCTTAAAAAATGATAAATTTTTCAGATGAAGAGATTCCAAATTATTGATAATTATTGATAATAAAATTACTAAAAAGAATATAATTAACTTTAAATTAATTCAAATATTAACTTCCTATTTATGCATTGGAAAGATATTTTTGATTTAAAATAATCCTAATAAATTAATTCATTTGGTCATCATCCGTTATTTTTTAACCCCAGTCAATAGGAATTTTGCTTATTAATGGCAAACCCATTTCTACACAATATTATCAAATTACAACACAAATATAAATATTCATAGCTTAGTTCAAATCTGAATATAAACATTGACAAATGATAACACCTTGTATGGAATGTTACTACAGAACACATATATCTTTCTATTTATAGTTTGATTTGTCGGAAATGACTTTCTATCCGGGAAATATCAAAATGGATTAGACAGAAACAATATTGATAAATGAAACACAGACATGACCGAAAGTTAACTTGGTGATATTGATTTGAACTGGACAGTTCAGACAGAAGCCACACAGACAAAGTGGCTAGTTCCCAACTTATCTTAAGATATAACTTGCATTAAAGGCTTTGACTTTGCCTATTGCAAACCTCAGTAAACTATTACTCATGAAGTGTACATATGGATTGTTTTGCGAAATTGCTACTTCTGATAAGCTCGGGATTGCTGTCGTTGAAAAAAAAATAAAAATTTCTTCTCTCTGTTGAATAATAGACTATTTCAATTTCAGACTATTTCAATTTTAAATATTCGGTACTAGAAAGAACAGGTGATACAGGACATGGTATTTCATCAAAACTTTTGCTATTTCTTTCTAATTCATGGGATACTTTCTGACACTTGACTTTTAAGTCCGTATATTTGAAAAATGTTATCTTGATGAATATGTTATAATTTAAAAAAAAATTTGAAATATATTAATTTTCCTTTTTCCTTTAAAAAATTAAAAAATGACTGGGAATAGGGGTGACATTACTAACTATATTCACATTTCCTCGGTTTAGTAGTCAAACAAAAGACAAAGTAAATAATTTTATCAAATACTATTATCAAATATTTAAAAAGGATATCATGGATCAATAATACAACAGAAATTTTAATAACAGAAACCATTTTCCATAAAAACTGAAAATATTTTGCACATCTGCGCTGCAAAGTTTGACATTTTTAATAATAACAAACAAAGCAGGACGATTAAAATTTTGGTGTGAACTGAAAGTGTATAATTGACCAGGTTGGCCAAACAAATCACTATATTAACCAGTTTCAATCACCGGTTTTGTCGCCAAATTTCTGGTCTATAATTATATCAGTCGGAAATAAGATCACTTGTATTTGTACAAGTATGAAAAGCAGATAAAATTGCCATTATAATATTGCGTTGAAAATTTGTATGCTGTTCCATGTGTGATTCAGTAATTTTCAAAAAAAAACTTGTTACATATTAACCCATGCCCACAATTACGCCATAAAAAAAACTACAAACGGCATGTTTGCATTGTAGACATTCCAAAACACAAAAAATGCCAGTGACGTCAAATATAATTGCCAATTATAAAAGCAAAGATGACATCAAAAGCTCGTCTCTAAGAGCAAGGTCAACATGTCATTTAAAGAACAGGAATTTGAAATATATGAATAATTAGCAATTGAATAAATAGTTACAAAAGTTTTGATATAATCAATATACGCTACAAAATATTGGTACAATATGGATATCCCGAAAAAATCGGTTTCAATAAAAATGATTTAGCAGTGACGAAAAAAAGTTAATTGAAAAATTTAGATGAAACAACTTTAAATGGTAATTGGTATTTTGGTAACATTCAATTTCACCACAAATCAGTGAATAGTGAATTAAATTGGATCAATAAAAAACAAAAAATATTGGAAAAAATAACTAACCTACTATTCGGATATGGACAAGCCTTACTGCATGTGTGAAGCTACTTATATTAATAGCACAAACAAATATACTTCAAATACAATCCTAAAAAATATGATTTATGCAACATCTTAAGTACATACTTTGAATGTTTCGCACATGACAACTTCAGGGGCCATCCAATATGGTGTACCGATGAATGTATCTCGAGTTTGTTCTAGTTGATCATTTTGAGCTGAGACACCAAAATCAGCTGAAAGAAAAAAATGAAATGTAATTTATGTAAAGCATATTATTGAATATATACCATATATGCCGAGTTTAAAACTAAAAAAAAAGTTGCCAACTGAGGGTCGGCTTATGTGGACAAAACTCTGATCGCACTAAAAATTAGGCTTATACGCACATGCGTAACGCACATAACTGTGATTTCACTAAAAATTCAGTTTATACGCGCATAACTCTGATCACACTCAAGCAAAAACTCGTACGGCGTGTTATGATTCGTAGGGTCGGCTTATATGCAAATTCTTAGAAATTCTCTGTTTTAGGGGGGGGGGGGGGGGGCTCAGGCTTATATGTGAGAATACACGGCAGTTTCTGAAATTGGTATAACTAGTTTTCAATTGAAAATGTTGAAAATCTCTTACAAAATCACCAAACTTACCTAGTTTTACTTTTCCTTCAGTTGTTAAAAGTATATTTCCGGCTTTCAGATCTCGGTGAATGATTTTGTTTTGATGTAAATATTGCAGAGAGAGACATGTTTGATGACACACCACTTTAATTTGGTTTTCTTCAAGACCTCTGTCAAGTTCTAAACAAGATATTAACGTGAAATTAGATGGAATGGAACCTTTAACAAGGTCTCTATAAGCTATGTGAACCTCATTCCACTACAGGCTAAAACAATACAGTTATTAATCTAATAAGTTATGTTGTACAAAAAGGGCTTCTCAAACAGGGTCCACAGAGAGGTACTCCGAAAATAAGGTTTTCGTAAAATTTAATTTCGTTATTTATTAAATATACCTAATCACCCTTTCCCTAAATATTTGTACAATGGGAATGTCTGCCGCCAACTCGACAACTTTTTCATATACTGTAATAATACCTAAATGTTCGAGATGTATTAAACATATTCATAATTTGTGTTTGAAACGTAATAGCAATATTCATGTTTTTAATTTGAACAAAAAATACAGATTTCCATTTGTCATCATTTTATCCTTTATTTCACGCCCCAAGTCAAATTTTCCATTAGTCATCAATTCATGAGATTACATGTAGCATTTGAGGTTGAAAAATAAAAAGCAAAAAAGTAGACAACACGTCATTTTAAGGTCTGCTGAACTTTGAAGTATATTTTTTGTTAAACAAAAACAGCCCAAAATAAAACTTTATTATACTGGAAAGAGTGTCAGTTTCGCCGTCTTTTTCAAGCATATCATAGATTTATCAACAAAACATACTTGTTCATGTGTGGTATACTGATGAATAAGCTACACATCTGTCAAATTCATTAAGTAAGTATGGGTTCAGAATATTAAAAACAGAGTAAACAAACAACATAATATGAGTTTATTATGCGCATAAAAGCCTTAGATGAAATATGATAAGATGCTTGCGTCACAAGAGAATAGTTTCATGTTACCATAACGTTAATCTGGCATCTAAAGATTGTGCTCAACGCAAATTATTGAATGTCGTCAATGCTGCCCTTCCCAAAGAATGAAATCATCGCCAATTAAATGGAAAGTAAATAACTCTGAACTATGTAAGGGCCCCAACATTTTTAAAATAAATTACTGTCTGTTAAATTATTATACTGTTCAAGTATAAAAGCTTTGCTCCATTAATTTTGTAATCTTTAAAGATCCTTAGCATCTGCTTGGTTGGGGAAGTGATGTAAGGGAATTCTAACAAAGCACATGAAGATTTATTATTATTATTTTCAGATTCCATCAATTCATACACATTTATTTAGACGTTGAATTCCAATATTTTAGACTTAATTTATTCACAAAATTAAAAACTAATTATAATTGACAAATAGTTTAACGCCAAATAACTCTAGATACTCTTTAAAACCCCATTTGAAGTGAGCCATGAAAATATCATATACGGGAATTGATCTAAAATACCATACAGTATTTCAATTTTAGTTCACAAAAAAGTATTATTTTACACATCCTTCTTGCTTATAATATTTTTGTTAGTAGTTAGGCTGCATGGGAATTTGTCTACTTTATTGACATTCCAAATACCTTCATTCCGGCATAAATTTGCCAAGTGCTTACGTAATTCTCAGGTAAATATTTGAATTAATTCAGTATTGAATGTTCAATGATGAGTAATTCATTATAGATAAATACGTCTTATGTGAAATTTCTCAGCTTCACTGTATAAGTAGTCATATTGAAAAAAAAAAGTTTTAGGAAGCAATAATCCTACTGGTTTAGTACCGGAATATATCCTACATATTATACACAAGAATTACATCTAAACTTGAAACATATAATTTTGATTTTTGAGGGCTTTTGTTGTTACTATAAACCAAAAGTATGTTGGACAGTATATATTATTAATTAATAAGATATCATCATATTCAGAATACAAAAAAGAGGTAAACAATAATTACAGTATTGTTGGTAACAATGACTCCCTGGCTCTAGTCTATACAAAATTCAGGCACTATGATACGAAATATATAGAAAATACTAATAATTATCATATAGCAAGTACTTTAGCTCAAAACAGCACAACTCGAAAAAGTTGGTTTTAGAAAAAGAGTAAAATTATATTTTTTGAACTTCTGTTATTGAAAAACTTGAGGGAAAATGGCTTTAAACTATGATTAGATACCATATTAAAAGTATATTCGCCTATTTTTTGAATATTTTCTGATAAAACTCTTTCGAAATTTCAATCAACGTTTGCCCTTTTGTTATGAATTCTTAAAAATAATTCAAAACGAATAGGATTATCCTATTTCATCAAGTATCAACTTCCAGTCTCCATTGATAAATATTAGCAACAGATAACCGAATCATACCATGACCAGCCATTATCACCAGACAGTAAAGGAGCTATAAACAGTGAGAAATCAATGCAGAGTGACTGTAATTAATCATTATAAAAACAAATTCGCAAAGAAGCTGACACCCACATTTGATGAATGTGATAGGAGGGACAAAGGTTAATCACAAGAAAGCAGGAAGTTGAATAATAAAACTTGGCAAAGTGAGTGGCAAGTAAGCCAGCTGATCACCTTTCACTAAGTAAATGAAATTGTTCAGTTGCTGGAAATAAATCAATTAGAACTGATTTATACCATTACGAAGTCGGTAGGTACCGGTATATATTAGTTTCGACTTTACCAAGTATTAAAAAAAAACGAGAAGTCGTTATCTTCAGTAGTTTTATGATGTCAGCACAATCCGTAAAATATAAATTTGGCTTGAATTAAAGAATTAAAGTAATTACAAACACTGATGATTTTAATATATAACATTTTATCTATCAAAATAAATTTTTAATATAAGAAATATTTAAAGCGCCAAACTGCAGTTTGTTGAAATTAACGTGATATATAAATAATGGTATGGGTTTGGAAATTCATTGGTAATTAAATACAGCTATGTAAATTTATGAAAATACTAAATTATCTTTGCAATTTCATAATTTTTCTTGTAAATGAATTGTTTTTTAAGTTAATTTCAATCAATAACTGCATTTATTTTTCCATTTTCGAGTTTTGAGCCATCAAGGCATTAGACCCGTTGAGGACATAACATCTTGTTTGCTTTGTCAAATTCTATTTTTCGTCTTATGGATTTTACCACTAAATTATGCATGAATGATAGGCATCCCGATGGGCGATGGGCGTTTGCCCACACACTTTCACTTTTTCTCCTTTTGTCAGAGCAAAGAAAGCAAATCTAGGTGACAAACTTTGCATAAGTGATTAGAGTTTGATTGTCAGGAGTGGGTAGGTAATTGATTAACCAAATGTGTGTGGATAATGAATATGAACTGCTGATAGTATTTGTGAAACGTGAATTTTGTATATTCAGATACAAATCAGACCTATGAAATGGTATTTTCAATTTGTGATAGCCTTTTCCTAATTAAATTTTCATACAATAAAAAGTAACTGAAATTATCGAATTATTCAGTCCAATTTCAAAATAAACTTAACGATGCGTGGCTGATGCATCCTTACATTATCCAGGCCATCAGCCCCCAGGCAATCCCAAATTTACATATTACCACAAATTGTTTCGCTATCTAGTTCTGGACAAAATAAATATAAATGAAATATAAAGTTTTTTCAAATAATTGTATCACTAATCTTGCAAAAAAAAAATCCAAAAGTGAGCAAATAATTTACCGTATGTATAATTTTTCAAAATAACTTTAAAAAGTCAAATTTGGCAGTATAGATGCAAAATGAAAATTAGATAATTTAAAATCAATCATTTTTTCTCATGATTTTATTCCAGGGTATGCTATTTATTATCCAAATTCAACATGCTTATTGAGAATACCCATTACACTAGTGATCTTTTCACCATATCCTTTTATGAAACATTTTCATCTAAATCCAGTACATATTATGCAGAAGACAAAAATGAGTCATTCCTTTTCAATATATCAACTATTTTGCATATGTAATTCAATCTTTCCCATTGTGAATTGAATTTGCGGTACAAATATTGCTTTATGCAATGACAGTGCCTATTCCCCAAGGCACAGGTGCAAATGGCATTTCTACAGATAATTTGTTTGAATGGTGCTCAGTGCATCTGTTAAGGTTTCTGCATTAGTGTTTGGTTTTCCCAAATTTTCGAAGTCTGTTTTAGAATGCATTTTTGTTTTCTTATCTGTCATTGAAAATTACTAGGTAATCAATTATTTAGTATTGAGTTCTGTTAATCCTGACTGTGTCTGTGACCGTGACCCGGAAGTGAATAACCTTTGTGTACTTTGAATACATTTGTCAAAGCAGCTATATAATCTTGATGGATACTTTTCTGATCATTATACACAGTCACCTAAACCTCAGGTCAAAATGAAATACGAACCCCTCCAGTGTTATTCTCATTAGAAACCCAACAATTTTGTAAAGCCATAGTCCCCCTACATAATCACGGTATTCCTGTCAAGTCACTGCCACGTAGTATATAGTATTTTTGTAAGCAATAGTAAAGTACATTAAAGGAGATCCTATTGAGGTGTTATCACAGAGGTATCATGAACTTGGATCATTATTGCTTTGCGAAAAAAAAAAATTTTTATAAGTTGGATGTGATTTATTCAGCTATTGAGATTCAAGAACATATAATTCAGCATCAACGTAGCTTATTCTAGGATTCCGCCTGTGAGAATTACCATTAGTGTTTTTTTAATAAATAGTGCATCAACAGAAAAAAATCTTGCCATTTTGAAAACTATTATCATTTAGCAATTTGACGTCAATGACTCCATCTCTCCAACAATATAACAGACACTGTCACAACTCACAATTACGGGTTAGGTTGACAGGATTCATCAAATTGAATTGGAATAGAAGTTGGAAAAGAAAACTCAAAATCAGGGTTGTCCAAAACGAATCGAATATTCGAATGTATTCGAATATCAAAGTATTCGAATACCTTTTCGGCTGATTTTCGAATAATTCCGAATAGTAGCCACTTTTCGCCGTAAACGTGGTGTTTCGTTTTACGGGAATATTTAAACGACTTTTTACGCTGTCTCACGTAATGACGATGAAATAGAATCGGCACTTTGATTGTTTATATTCTGTGCGACCGTACGTTGCATAGTGTTGCGACACATTTGCACGTTTGCATGGGTGGACATTGCCGACATTCGTGTACGGGGCTTTTAATTTACGAATTCATTTCCATTACGTCGAAAAATTGAGAAAGTATGTTTATTTAATTTCTATGTGGCCTGCTTATTATTCGCATGAGTCTTCTCAAGCATGATTTGTGTAACCTTATATTTGGGTCTTAGGGTCTGCCAATCATGATATTTAATCGCAGGCTGGTTATCGTTACTTTAAAGAGAAACACAAAATAGTTAATTCTGTGAGTATGATTCTACCAAACTAACATGATCTGGTTCTAAACATATAAAATGATTAGCGAATTAATGCCAAATACAACGGGTATTTGTGGACATGAAATGCGTGGTAAACTGCCCAATTATAATTAATTTCATATTCGTGTTTACAAAATAATAAAACTAATAATTCTAAAATGCAACGGCGATCTGTGGCCTTCAAATGTGTGGTAAACTGCCCGATTTACCAACATTTGAGTTATGATAATAGAATTAAATTAACACGGTAAGGCATTTTAAGTAGTGGTATCGGTCATGGATTCGAATATTTTGTGCAGCACAAAATCATCATAGTAAAAAGGCCATACTTTTAAATACAAACCAATGGCAACCATTCTCCAAATTAGTTCCCAAGAGCGGGATAAAATATAAAGTCTTTTTCCGACTCGTGACAATTTTTCGTGAGTACGAAAATAAGAATCAAAACTAATTATATTCGGCACAATATCACGGCAATAATATAATAATAATTTTTGATTCCTATTTTCGTATTCACAAAATACAACAATATGAAATAATAAAAGTATTATTACTCAAACATACAACGGCGATCTGCGGACTTGAAATGTGTGGTAAAGTTCCAAAATATAATTAATTTTTGATTAGTATTTTTGTACTCACGAAAAAATTGTCACAAGTCGGAAAAATACCTCATACTTTATCCCGCTTTTCGACAAATAATTTGGATAATGGTTGGTATTTAAAAGTATGGGCATTTTACTAGGATGATTTTGTGTTGCGCAAATATTCAAATCCATCATCGATACCACTATTGTCGTATTAATTTAATTCTGTTAACATGACTCATGGTATATAAAATATATACTGCAATAATCTGCAAATATGAAATGCCTGGTAATATAGCTAGGTTGTAACTTGTAGATAGCAGTTATTCCATTGCTTATTGTATGGAAATTCCTACATACATTTAGGTAAGTTTCAATTAGTGGATTTTATTTTCGAAGTATTCGAAATTTCATATTCGAAAAAAATAATTTCGAATGTATTCGAAATAGTGAACTATTCGGTATTGGCCATCCCTGCTCAAAATCTTTATGGTGATTCCTATAATAAGTTTAACAGAAATGACCATTCCATTGGAAAAGTATTATGTTGCACGATCATATATCAAATACAGAACCGTAATAGTATTTGTTTGGGTAAAATCGTGAAATCCTCCATTTAGAAAATTCACAGTCTGTATTTGAAGACTCAACATCTATTGGAATATGTAAATTAAGCTATAATTAGGTATCTATCATATTCATCAAGCCTAATCCTCATTTGCATTCACTATTCATAATTATCTAGGGAACTATCAATTTATTTCAATATATTCGCTTTGAATAAAATGTTTTTTGTTTTTCACATGGAAATTAAAAATTCAATAACAAACCATGTAATGTCATGTAAATCTGAATGACTGTAAAGTGCTGTAGCAGTGAGCGATGCCATGGTTTACTTAATATATAAAGTCGTTAATTGATCTTATTCTCTGTTTACGAGTCTTTTGAGCATCGTGAAACAAAGGCCAAAACTAATGATTGCTCTCAAGACGGAAACACCTACTATTTATTGCACCGACGCCTTTTGTATTTTGTCATCAGTGCATAACGTAGTTGATAACGTTTTTATGTCTGAGTCAACTTATGCATGTTTGGGCCAGACTTAAATGTACATATACTAAATTGTTGATTGCGTATTCCAGACTAATTAAATATTGTATATATTATTATTTATTGATAGCATTATCTGATAGTTTACCTTGTGAGTTCAGAACTGGTTGATACTCCACTTAAGACTAATCGTTTCAATGCTTTTCTTTTGGAATGGCAATTTTTAGTGCGGAAATAAACTTTTACCGTAATAGCGAAATACTTTGAAGCTGTAACTTTATTAGTCAAATGAATCAAACAGTATATTAAATTTTCTAACTTCCATATAACAACCATTCACCAGAACTGCATAATCTTCATTCAAAATTTGAGAAATTAAATGAAAACAATTCAAATTGATTTGAATATCGTTTAATTTGAACATTTTTGACCATTGCGAACTATTTAGTTTCTTTTAAGATAGCTGATTGAAAAAAATGCCAAATTAAAAAAAAAATTTTTGTCTTAAGAAATCAAAGAGTGTTTTTCATTATTGTTCTTAAGTTGTTTCCTGATTTGGATTCTCGCTACTAAACTAATCCAGTAATCCCCAATTAATGCAGCATAAATTTTGTAAGACAGGATGTATATTCTCATTGAAGGGTGACCATAATTATTGAACCTTGCGAACCAGGTCAATTAATTTGTTTAATGGAATAACTAATTAGAATCATGATCATAATTTATTATGCTTAGTCAAGCATGTTGGTGATGAGAAAAATTTTCAAATTATTAAACGAATTGATTTTTTACAGAAGTAAAGGTCGATGGGCCATAGATGGGCACTGGTTGTTGAGAATAAAATCTATCCACTGATAACGCTCCACTGACTTCAAGATGACAATCAATTTGTGGTAAATGAGCCAGAAAAATTAATAAGTGAGAGAAAAGGTTACGGGAGGGCACAGAAAGATCATAATAACTCACTCAGAAATTAAAGAGAATGATCCTGAGTGAATCTATGCTTAACGCCTAAAATACCAAGTGCTACTGACAATATAAAGAATTATTATTGATACCAATATGCTGGGAGAATGCACCACAACAACTTGGCTACCATAGTCGACTTATTCAACATATATAGTCACAAGACATCCAGTAATACATACATAATCCTCATATGAACCATTCCCATAAACTAATGTTATACCTACCAAATGTCTTACTTTATTAAAGATAATAAGTAATTACTGGTACTAGAAAATACCTCTATATAAATTAGATTATCTAGTATTTTGATTTGTATATTATTAGAGGTACTAATGAGTCAACTCAGCGTAGTTAATAGGTATTCCCATGATAAAGATTTGAATGTTGAAATGGATATTATTATAAGCGTAATATGATAGGTCATACAGAGTGAATCCCATTAGCACTTATGCACGCAATTAAAATGTTAAATCCAAAAATAAACATATAATATGAATGATTTTATGTCTATTCTCAGTAACACAGGAAGCAAAATTGTTATTAATTGATAATATGTGAATTCAAAACAAAAATCAAAAAATTGTGTGAAAATCATACTATTCTATAATAAATAATTCTATTCAATTCTTTTTAGTCTATAAATCCATATATTATTTATGAAAATGTTGTAAATGCAATAGATATATTCCAAGTGTTCGAATGGGTGACCGTACATTTGAACCCATGTACATTTGAACCCATGCGTATATCCACGGGTTCAATCTATATGCGGGTGCTATAACCCATGGGTTAGGGTTAGTATGGGTTTAACTATCCATGAAACAAAAAAAATTCCATAGGTGCAATAGCATACAGGTGCAATTGTCATGGGTTCAAATGTAATGGAACCGTTCGAATGTTATTCACAAACAAGGAAACAGTATTTTAAATACAGTTAAATACTGGTTATATAAATTCTGATTTGAGATAAAACAATGATGAAAAATTTGACACATAGCTAATGCATTTTGTATCAACTACAAATATTTGAATTTCTAAATCATTATATTTCATACACTTACCTAACATGATAGAATCCAGAGCTCCACCATCACAAAACTCTATCAACACCTGAAAAAATTATTGTTCAATATTTATAATACATAAAAACTTGTTCCAAGAAGTTGGAAAATACACAAAAGAATGGATTAAAGGTGGCTTAAGTTTAATAAACTATAATAAGCAAAGACATCATTTTTTAACAAATATAAAATTACATTATTAGATAACACTTTAATTTGTTTTACACAAATAAGAATCGCCAATAAAACTCTTAGGAATGAGTAATAAATAGAAATAGCAAAACGGCAGTTCTATGAAAAAAACTTCCAATTACAGAACTGTAACCAAAGTTTTATGAAAAAATGATATTGAATTTCTAAATTTACATATTACAAGGTCTGAAAATGAATGTCTATACTTCAAGCATGATATAAAGTCAATATATTGATTAAGAATGACTGATTCTTTGAAATCTGGTCTAAGCTAGGCCATGTGCACTCACACAGAAGAACTACTGAAACTCCCATATTTTCAAGATAATAAGACGCTTTTCTGGAAATATTTTTTTGCCTGATTTTCTGGGGTCGACTTATTGGGTGGTTCGATTATCTTCTTCTTTTCTGAGGTCAGTTTGATATTAGTTTTGAACCAGAAAATACAGAAGAAGAGGAACAAAAGCAACAGAATACATCTATAGATTATTTGAAGTCAAACCTGGGCTAATCCATTTATCAAGAATGTTCATATTCTCTAATACGGCTACTATTTGAATGCATACTTGGTACTCACCCATAGTTTCATTTCAAAAAAATAAGCATCCATAAGCTGAACAATATATTCCGAATTACATGCCGCAAGAATATCGATCTCAACATTATAGTCAGCCAATTCTTCTTCATTCCTAGTCTCGATAACTTTTGCAGCAGCAAAGTTTCCAGTGGTCTTGTTTTTGGCCTAAAATCAGAATATAAATCTTATATTAGTCGGAAAATGGTGATAGCAACTCATTTGAAAAAAGTTCTCCGACTCCAAGTTCATAACAAAATATTAGACAATATTATATTACTATTTCATGATGTAGTTGTCTTACTGGTATTCATAACACGAGATAACACAAATCATTAAAAATATTTTTTTTTCAAAAATTATTCCATTAGCCTCAATATTAATGGATAATCAAATACTCCCACTTCCGAGTAATAATAGGTATAGTAATAAAAATATCTTTTTTGGCACCACTGAAGAGCTACTTTTAAGATTATTACTTCATAATATGTCTGATATAAACAAGATGTTCAACAAGAAAGGACAAATGAGTCGGACTGACTCGGGAGGCAAATGACTATCAAGCTATTAATAAAAGGCCTGATTTTGGTTTACAGATATTGAATTTGGAATGCAGGAAGCATTGTTCTGCTCATGGAAGTTGGGATCTTTGAAAAATTTGGATATAGATATTAGTCGCTAAAATCCATACTCAAGTACATGATTATTGTCTTCAAAAACGTCAATAACTCTCGAGTACAGACATAACTGGACCCTTGACAAAATCCTTCAAAATATTTTAATTTTGCTGGCAAATGAAAAAAGGCATCACTTGTCTGTGAGAGTTTATTCTTGAGAACAGAAACTGAATTGAAATTAAAGTACTTTTTAATCTGGAGTACATTGAGGACATCTACATAGGAGGTTAACCTAAATTTCTCCAATTATACACATAAGCCAATGTTGACAATAATGACATTGAGCCAATGAGATTCAAGCATTGAAAAAAGGAAGCTTCATAAATAGTAATGATATAGTTCTTTCAAAATCATAACACCACTAAAATTTGGTGTAATGATTGTATTATTTAAAATAATTTAGCATATGTCATGATTCGGATTATTAAAAACTGAAAGCGAAAGGAAGTGAAAACAGAATTTTAGAAGTTCAGTATTAACGAGATGAGGACATCGCTTAACAGTTCTAGATAATTGTAAAATTGGAAGTAAAAAAAATATGCATTTGACCAATGCAATAAATGTCAAAACGCGAAGTATAATTGATGACAATGCACCAATTCTATATATTATTTTTACATACAAAAATGTTAGGTTGTTTTTGTTTTAGTCAACAGTTGAACCAAAACTGTCCGTGTGGTTAAGTATACACAATAGGTTACCTCTTCTATCAGAAGAGCAAAACTACTAAACGAAAGAATAACAGCCCAAGGCTATGACAATTCAACTATGTGACCTTGCACGTTAGCTGTTTGTGGAATGTGCTAACAGTATTCACAAAGTCAGTCAGTTAAGCATAATTATCATGACATAGAAATTAGGGGGACTAACTATGGGCCATGCACACAAGAATTTATTAATCGTTGCCTCATGTTTGATTAAGTATGATCACATAGTAATAAAACACATAAACAATCTATTTATGAATAGACCAAACTTGAACATGTGAAAACAATTCTGTAAAACAAATTTAAAATCTTTTACTATTTTGTCAAGTATGATTTTAACATAATTAACAGACTATACATTTCCAATAGATAAATCTCCTGTGGATTGGATTGCGATAATATTGATATAAATAGAATAAGAACATTCATTAATGAAACCAATAATAGACAACATTCCCAGAATATTGATAACGGCATGTTTGTCGCCACCACTAAAATATTAATTTATCACATATGAATATGAAAATTAATTGGCAATAAAACTACATTGTAATCCGAATTTAAGTGAATGTGAATATTATGAAAAGATCAGGTTTTTGGCAATTTTAATATCAGAAATTTGCTTTAGATTAAAAATATGTCTAATTGTGAATCTAAAGCATAAAACTGACCTTATTAAATCAAATTTTACAATAAAATAAATGAATCATACAAGTACTGGAATTATAAAATTTACGTGTTATCCCAATTGAGCTATGTGTCAGCTTAGCTCGATCGAGCTGCATGCCAACACATTAAACAATGTATGCCTGAAATAGCCAACTAGAAACGCCGCTTATGTAAACACATAAAAGCTCTCAAGAGCGAGCCTATAAATATAAATTAAAGCGACAAAACGACAATTCCACTTGACACACAAAAGTTAAACTGAACAGTACTGTACAGGAGGTGATAAAAGAAACTAAATCGCTTGATAGTAATTACAATTACTAACTCTTATAAAATAAAAATTTGAAGTCTGAAAATCTTCTGCTCTCAAAATCACAAAAATGGAAAATATTCGGATATTTTAACACAGATTGGCATCAGATAGACTTTTCTACTTGACCTACCTCAACTTACCATTGTTAACATATCTGCGTTATAGCTTATGAATTCAAAAACATGAAAGGCACAAGGCCATGATTATTAGTCAAATTGGCCATACCAATGAATTTCTAAAAATGCTATGGAATCATAATAATATCGAAAAGAAATCTAATCAGTATAACTCACCTTATAAACCTTTCCAAAAGCTCCATCGCCAAGTTCTCCTACAGTATCCCATACCAGTTCAGGATTTTCTCCTCGTTTTATATTAGCATATACCTTCCTTTTTGGCTCTTCTTGGCCAAGGCGAAGAATCTTCCGAAAGAATGACATTTTATGTGGCTGAAGTAGCCTAGTTTCTAAACGTCATATACTCCACCTAACTCTATATATTTAATACTGTTAATAGAAAGCTGTAAAATAAAACTGCGAATGAGTGTAAATTTATACTTAATAAGGATAGCTTTGGGTCTGGTCTACATTGATATACTTTGTTCCTACAATGAAACATAGAATATCAGAATAACACTCAATGACTCAGCTGCAGAAGTATAGTCCACTTATTACTAGAGATGACGGAGCCCAGTCTTTATTTCAACCTCTTACATAAAATCACTAATAAGTGATAATCTAAATCTTTATTATTCATCTATTTTGAATATCTCAAGTTAAAATTATATTAGATATTGAGATATATTAGATATATCAAACTGAGGAAATAAATGATACTGCATTGTATATCTACCATAATCTTGGAAATTATTTCATATTTCATAAATCGCAATAAACAAAAAACATTTCTATTCTACATTTGTATTTATATCATGAACTATAAAATCGTTTTAGAGTGCCGGTAGTATGACATATTATTTTGTGTGGGTGAAATTCATTTGACGCATTTTTGAATAATATTAAATGAACATATATATCTGCACATCAGTCTACGTAATCGGCTACCAAAAATCCTTCCAATATTGTTTTTAATTATTTCCTCAAAAGTAATTATTTATCACGTCACTTAAGTTCCCAAAGTGCAAGTATATGACAGCTTCGACAACAGTACATTTAGTTCAAATACAAAATTATATAAAATGCTATTCAAGTTAGGATGGAAGTAAACAATACCTGGATAATAAAACTAATAATCTGAGCTTGGTGTAATAGATTTAGAGAATTACAGAATCTGATAATGAAAATTTTATACTAAAAGTATTTTAGTTCAAATTTATGTGAAAGATTTTTATGAAACAAGCCAATCAATATTGTTGTTATATATTTATAATTTGCTGTTTGAACAACAAAATCTCGATTTATACTTATAAAAAATATCACAGAGTTCATGATAAGATATACTTTGCTGGAGATAAACAATAAAATTACTACAGATCAATAACCAAAGTTATATATGATTTTTTTAAACTTAATAAGTGACATTACAAACACAGTCACAGCAAGAAATTCCTGAAATTGAGAGAAGTGACCTTTCAGAAACTTCTTTCTAGTAGTATGTTGTTATTGATCTGCAAATGTTTTATCATTATTAATGCATACGTCACACAGTACCGTATTCTACTAACAGATGGCTGTATACAAAATAAAAGTACAAAATATTCTCAAATTCTACTTTTTTGAAGATTTTTGAACAACAAAAATAGCATTAGCATTTCAACTGTAATATTTCTTTTCACTTGCTAACTGTATAAGACAATATATGAAAAAGTTATGGAAGATATATGTTTTTAGATGTGTTTCACATACTTCTCACTATACATGACTCTACCCAAGTGAGTTTATGTATCACTAAATGACCTACGATAATACTACAGAAAAGACAAGAAATGTTTGAGAAGGCTGCCAATATAATATAGCCTGTGGAGGAGTCATGTTGTATTCAAAGAGTTTGCATATGGAAATGTAGGAAAAATAAGATTAAAGGTCACCGAATTGGATATCTACTCTTGACAGGAAGTAAACGGCCCCTTTGGTAACACTAGGCACTTCTGAAAGTTCCTGAACTCAAGAATCAAAAATATTGAAAATAGTTATTTTTGAATCTATTTGTTTTGGAAACTCCTGATATAGCCATATCCCGATCAATGTGGACCCTACAGTGACTATATTAGTACCATGTCTACTGTCAGTGTACAACTGCACAAAATAATGGTTTATTTCCGGTCTTACTACTTACTGAATACAGCACGAAACACCGCAAAGAGCGCGAAACAGCGCAAAAGAGCGCGAAACAGCGCAAAATAGTGGGGAAACAGCGCAAAACAGAGGGAAACAGTGTGAAGCAGAAAAAAATTTTGCAATGAGTTCGGGGCACCTTGTTTTGAGTTGGATTACCACGGCAGCAAATTAAAAACACAAACCAACGTATGTAGCCAATAATGCTGTAATGGCCGGTCTGCCCCTGCTGGTGACACATTTTGGGTACCATAATTTAGAACATTTTCCATGTGGATATGGTTGGCTTTAGGGTTAGGGTCAGGTAAAAAGGGACCTCCAGAAGTATGTGCACCAAGATGGCGCACAACCTGAAAATAGTATGTGTGTGTGTGTGTGTAGCGCCTTCAGGTTGTGCGACATATTGCTGCACATACTTCTGGTGCACCAAAAAGGTAGATAAAATTTCGCATGATGACCCATAATCCGGTACATAACCTTGTAAATATACCGGAAATAGCGCCATAAAACCAAGGGGAGAGGCGCCGTGGTTCTTTCGTGGCAGGAGGTGGTAATGACTGCGTCTCCTGTTTTGCGCTGTTTCCCTCTGTTTTGCGCTGGTTTCCTTCTGTTTCGCGCTGTTTTCCTCTGTTTTGCGCTATTTTGCGCTCTTTTGCGCTGTTTTGCGCTCTTTGCGGTGTTTCGCGCTGTATTCAGTAAGTAGTAAGACCCGTTTATTTCTGAATCTCTGTGAAAGTGCTACATACACGCAACAACAATTATGCTGTAAACTGTATTATAAATCTAAAGATAATACAGGCAATCGCAATTCCATGTTTTTTCAATAACTCGTAAAACAAATATGTTAATCAGAAACCACACTGGAACCGAAATAATTCAGTTCAAATAAAATTCACCAATGCAGTGAAATCATAATATATACTGACTTTACAAAGTTGAAAACAACCTATCGTAATCTTGATGAAAAGTATGATAATATATAGAATATTCCTATGCATAAATTATGCAATTCAAGAGTCTTGCTGCACACTAACACAAATGTTTTTTCTGTAATGTTTTGTCTGACTAAATTCAGACTTCCTCAGTCAAGCAGTTTACAACAATGACAAGAAAAGAACAATCATGCGGTTTAAATACGATGATAAATAAATTTTTTAAAAATTGAATTTTCAGATGAAATGTGACCAAACAATGATAAAAATAATTATTAATGAATAGCAAGAAGATAAAAAAAGCAACTGATAAATATGTTACATGTTTATGAATTTCACAAAAAAACAGTAACTCCTGTTATCTGAACAATTATAACGGCAAGCATTCATATAAACATCCTTGGCCTCAAAAGGTATCAATAAATATACCTAACTAATTCAATAACCAACACCACTGCCCGGAACCTTCTTAAAAGTCAGACAATGAGAAGCGCCTTTTGTATTGTAATGTAAATAATTCAGTTATGCTTCAATGGGCGTGACATGATGTTTGAACAGTTACCTAAATTACAAAGCGTACTTCAGCACAAAAATATTCTGATGTCATTGTTTAAGAAAAGTAGTCAAGATCCCTTTTTATTATAAAAACCAAGATTTGATTGTGTAAAGCTATAGTAAATTTAAGTTAATATACAGTCTGCAACATATTTCAAACGCAGATAATAGCATATTTGGATATGGAAGTCAACTATAGTTTTTGACCTGCCTTGAATAACACTTAAAAATGATAAAAGCGAGGAAACCTCATATTTCATATATAAACATAAAAAAACAACAATGATATATAATTTATGAACTTTCGCACATTTTTATTCATTTTGTAACCATGTTATATAGTTCTGTAGTTACATTTTTGTTTACATTTTCATCCCATCTCACTTTGGCTGAAGGACAAAATATAAACCCAGCAGACGGTACCGGTACATATTCCACTAATTTTCATTAGATTTATGGCGATGGGCAGTACGAAAATCAGGAAGTGAAAGACTGTAGTGATTGCAAGATTAGTGAATACCGGTAGTATTAGGTTTGCTTTTAGGTTTATGCAAATCAGACGATTAAACTATTGCACAGGATTTCAAGCCTCTGAAATGTATTTTTATTTTATTTTGGAAGCTGCGTGGATTAATTAAAATAGGTCTGTAGGTAGGCTATAGAGTCGATCTCATTTTACTGTTTTATTTCATCAACCTGTAGGCCTACTTGTCTCACGTAGATTAAGCTTGGATTTATATGTTGAACTATTGACCTACTGTTAATACTTCAATAGAACCTACCGGTACCGGTACCGTACATTTTGTATTTTTACGGTACCTTCTAAGGGTTTTTGTGTCAAGGATTTTACAATATATTCATTCAGTCAAACCCAAACTATGTTCAACTTCATAAGTTACTAGTACCGGTAGACTACCTAGTCTACTTGAAATACAGTACCGGTATGCTGCTACAGAATACCGGTATCCGTAATTTTTTATAGGCCTACTTACAGTACGCCGCCGCCGGAGCGAACCCGGTGGGTGTCTATTTTATCTGACGACATTGACCTCACGTTCCGATACTAAACTGAATTTATTTGCTCTATAGTGACATTTTCCGATTTAAATTTCGACCCAAACTTACAAACCGAAGATACCGAACAGAGCGAGAAAGAATTTTTTTTTTTTTTTGCCAAATAGAATTCCAGTGCCAATATGAAATTCAATTATTTATATAGTTTTTGTCCAGATGAAAGTGAATTAATATTATTTATGTGTATTTCCAATTTTCGTTACAGTAATTGATATCGGAATACAATCGCATGGTTTGAATTCCGTTTAAATGAAGAAAAATCATTTTACAATTCAAATATACAATACCCATACATTTACATTCACATATTCAATATCAGCAATTCATTGTTTGTAGTTCCAATTGATTTAGTTGATTGTTGTCCCAATTGTCATCATCGTGAATGTAATTAAATTTATTTTATATTAGCATGGAAAAGCAAAATTTATAAATATTAGACAGCAAATTTGAACACCTATCATGCTAATAGGATTTTCCTATTTCCTGTCCAAGTAAATGGTCTGGTCGTATCACTCCCCCCCTGTCTATACCAAACTAATTTATTTCTTATTGTTATTTTTATTATAATAAGAATTCAGAGTTTTTGGTATATGACTGGGAGGTGACGATACTACCGATAAGGTCATCAGAGTCTGTTACCACCCAATACAAAATACATAAATAAATACTTAAT